ATCCTCCCTCCTCCGCTCAGGGGTGCGAGGCCCTGGTGGGTGTTGGGTGGGTGGGCTCAGAGAGATTGGGAGGCAGCAGTGGGTGATGCCAATTAGACTTGAGGAGCCTTGCACCTCAATGCTCCTTTCTCAATCCTCATGTCCCTGTGACACTCGTAGGTTTATTTGGGGTCTCCCTGGCCCCCAGCCAGGGGATTGGAGTTGAAGAATGAGATCCAGGGCCCTGTCCTTCTTCCCACTGTCCATCCAGCTCCCCACAGACCTGTGCTCACCCTGTCTGAGTTTTCTGTGACGAGGGAAGAGGAACTGAAAGACCTGGGTTCCAATCCTGCAACAGTCCTCCACGGTCTGGTGGCTTTGCAGTTATTTATCCTCTCCAAGCCTCTGTCCCCCTGTAAAGTGGGGGTAACAAGCCTACCTCCTAAGGGTTAAATGAGACAATGTAGGGAGAGCTCCTTGGACGGCCCGAACGTCGTGGGAACTCAGTAAATGCTAAGGATTATGATTATTCTCAAACCCAGACTCTGACTCCTGCAGAGGGTGGGAGGTGGGGGAGGGCAGGAACCAGAGCAGGGCTCTGCCAAGGGTGCTGGGCCCTCTGGATCCTATCCCCGGAGGTCCCAGCTGTCCCCAAGGCCCCCCAGCCCTGGGGGCCAATGTCCCTCATGATTGTCCATGCCTGAGGCCCAGCCCCATTAGGGGCGCCTTCAGGATCCAGTGGCGGCGCAGGCTTGAGGGCTGGGTCTCTGGTGGGGCCGGGCTTGTCCTGGAGAGTTGGGCCCTACTTCCCGCTGCTGGCCTGGCTTGTGCTCTTCTGCACGGGGCTGGGGCCAAGCAGGGCAGCGAGGGAGCCATCCGGGGGGGCGCCACCACGCTTCATTTTGAGGTTGGCTCTCAGGGCGGCATCCTGGCCAGAGCCCCCCTCAGGGGAGGCCAGGGGATCTGGAAGGAGAGCAGGAGGGTGGGCCTTGGGAGCACTCAAAGGCGCCTTCGCTTCACACTGCCCAGCGGGGATAGGGCTTTCTACCCATGCATTCACTCATTCATTCATTCATTCATTCTCCAACAAATGCTGACCAGGGCTGGGCTCCAGACCCTGAAGAGGTGCCAGTCACCACCCTGCCCCCAGGGCGAGACATGGAAACCCCAGCCCAAGAGGGAACCAAGGCTCTACAGAGCCCTGTGAGGAGAGATGAGGTCGGCTTCCCAGAAGTGAACTTGGAGCAGGCCCTGAAGTGGGAGTTGGTGCTGAGGAGGTGGAGGGACCTGTTTGAGCAAAGGCGTGGAGGTGGGAGGGGGCCTGGGAGGACTGGATGGTGGCTCTGTGTCACTGGGCACCAGGCTATGCTGGGGAGGGACTTAGGACTTGATGAATCGAGATGTCAGGCATGGGCAGCAGGGGGTCACCCAGGGTCCTTGAGCGGGAGGGTCGTCAGGGTCAGGCTGGGGTTTGAGGGAAATTACCTGGCAGCCAAGTGAAGGGAACATGGAAGCAGGGAGACCAGAGACAGTGGCAGCTGTCACGAGGGCAGCAAGGAGTGGGAGGTCGGAGCAGAGGGAGATTCCCAGCTCCGTGACCAGCTGTGGGCCCATCGTTCCTGGGCCCTGGTCACCACTCACCGTGGATCCCTATCATGTGCTCCAGGATGAGGACTCTCTCTGCCAGGATCTTCAAGGCCTCCCGCAGCTGCTGCACCCCCTCACCCTGCGGGGAGGAAGCAGCCAGGGTCAGGGCCATTTCGCCTCAGTGTACATGTTGTCCCAGTCCTTCCCATTCCTGCCTGTCACCAGCAATACAACAGCCACCATCCACTCTGTGCCGGGGATAGCGTTTGGATTCTTGTTCACAGACAAGGAACCAACGCACAGAAAGGGTAACCAGCGTCCCCTGGACACACAGCCTGGAAGTGGCCTAGTGGCTTTCATGCCCAGGTGTGTTCCCTCAAGTCTGGGCTCTTCCTGCTCCAAGTTGCCTGCCAGCTTCCCCTGTGTGCCCTTCTTTCCAGAAAATGCCCTCAGAGCACCTAGAACAGGCCCACAGGTTGGGGAGCTTGGCTGATTTCCGTCCTGGCACTGCCCACCTGAGAGCCCACCCCCAAAAGCAAAGGGGAAGAAAAGCCACTGCTTCTGGGGTCCCGGCAGGAGGGCAGGATGATGGCGAGCCTGCATCTCTGAGACCTGGCCTACACGTGGGCCAAGGACCTCGTGTGCCAAGACATGTGAATGAGCTGATTGATTGATGTCAAGGCCACTTTGAAAAGTGATGATGAAGAGACAAGTGCCCGCCTGGAGTCAGCAGCAAAACGGACACCTTTTGCTGGTATAGCATGACAGCTGTCATGACATTCAGATGAATTTAGCTTAAAACACAACAAAGGGAAACCAAAAAGCAGCCTGCTGGGCTCCAGGAGAGAGGTCTTCCCACCAGCGACCCAAAGCCCACCAGAAGCTGTATCTGGACAGTATCTGGGATGGGGGTGTCCCCGGTGAGGAGTACCCCCCGCCCCCGGCAGGGACCTAGCTAAGTCCCATGTCCCCACCACAGGTTGTACTCTTATGAAATGGGGAGGGCGAGTCATAGGTGCCCTCTGTGGAGAGCGGCTACAGCGTTTGGACAGGTTCAAGCCTGGGACTAATGAGAGGGCACGGTCCTCTCGTGGCAAAGCCACGTGCAAGTCCCAGCACAATAATAGCCCAAGGCTACAGTTGTAAGCTTGACCTTATGGTCCGAACCTGTGGTCCCACGTGGCTGAGTGATATGGGCTGCGGGAGGTGCAGCAAGTAAACAAAGTTTGATCAGGTGCATGTAATTGAGTAGATTTGAAACCCAGGAGAACGTTGTAAACATCTTGACCATGCCCTTACTTTGCCTCGTGGAATCTGGCTATGAAATAAAGACTCGGGTTGCAGGCTGTGGCACTGTCTCTCCCTCAGAGAGCAGCGTCCCACCCAGACCCAGCTTTCTTCTCTTGTCTGTCGTTTCTAATCCTTCACCGCCCCCCGCCCCCCGCCCCCCCATGGCTGTGCTGGCGCGGCACATCCTCTCAGTCTGGCATCCCGAGTGACCTGTGCATCTGCTCACGCCCCAGCATGCACATCCCCTCCCACTGCCTCCTGAGCCCACCACGGCTGCTCTGGTCCCAGCACCTTCACCTTTTCCAGTCCCACAAGGCCCTCTGGAAGGTCCCACAGTCCAGGCCACCTCCCACAGCTGCCTGCCTCCAATGCCCACCTCGCCAGGGGCCAACAGCACAGTTACCTCTGCGGCAGCTTTCTCCTCTTCTTCCCCCTTCCGGCCAGGCTCGCCCTAGGAAGAAAGCCATGCAGTCAACAGTGGTGCGGGTGGGGGGGGGGGGGGGCTGGGGCGAGCAGAGCAGCGGAGGACCAAGGCCCTGGTCACCCTGCACAGCCTCACTTGGGAGGTGTCTGAACTTGGCTTTAGGGGCTTAATTCTGCTTCTGGGGCCGGGGGGTCAGGTTTGGAACCTCATGAGCTCATGTCTTGGCTCACCCAGGGATCAAGTCTCCTGCCTCTTAGGACTCTGTTTTCCTGTCTCTAAAATGGGGCCAGTCTCATAATAACACCTACCTGATACTTACTCCTTCCTTCTGTGTGACCTTGGGCAAGGTACTTTACCTCTCTGTGCCTCAGTATTCTCATCTGTACAATGGAGTAATAACAGTGTCTACCTCATAGGACTATTAAAAGGATTAGATGGATAACGAGCGTAGACTGGAGCCTAACACATAGAGGTGCTGTGAAAGTGTTGTCATATATTACCAGAGGAGGCATGGCTTTGGAGGCTAACACACCTATGCTTGCCTTCCTGTGTGACCTTGGGAAAGTTACTTAACCTCTCTGAGCTGCCAGTTCTGACAAATGGGGATAATAAAACACAGTATTGCTGGGCTGCTGTGAAGCTTAACTACACTATGGGTGAAGAGCGCCTCCACAGTGGCCAGCACATAGTAGGTGCTCAGCAAAGATCCATCCTTCCTCCTGGGCCCCATTGCCTCCCTTCCTTCCCCTTTACCCCCACTCCCCATAAGGCCTTGGGCACAAAGGAGGCTCCCCTCCTAGGGGCAAGAGTTGAAGCTCATAAATTCTTGTTTCCAAGAATGAAAATTAGAAGCCAGCTTCCTAAGCCTCTTAAATTCTGGGATTCAGAGACGGGAAGGGATGCTCTAGATCTACAGCACATTAACTCAGGGGTCTGGGCTCCCTGAGGAGACCTCCGAACTCTCATCAACTCCTTTAACAGGCTATTTCAGTCCTTGCTCACATTCCCAGTGAGGTGGCTCCCTTCTCAATGTGGGCATCTGGGACTGCACTCAGGTTGCCCCCTTCTGTCCTCTGCCCTACCCTGGATAAGGTCATGTTTGGGGAGGCTGTGGGGTGGAGCTCAGGTAAGGCCACCTGGGAGAGTCCTCCCCGCCACCCCCACCCCCAGGGCCCACCGCTCCAGGTGTGGCCCATCTAAACGGCCCACACTTACAGATGGCCCCGTCATGCCTCGCTCTCCAGCCAGGCCCTGCAGAAAATCAAATAAAGCAGATGAGCCCTTGCTGCCTTCCCTGGCCAACCCTTCAGTCCTCCCCGCCCCCTACACCGGGCTCTGGATCTGGAAAATAAGATGGGAGGACAACGAATGACATGGAGGAAATGGAAAGGCCACACCTGGGGGCCTCCCAGGTTCTGAAGCCATCCTTCTCTGGCTCCTAAATGAACCTCAGCAGAGCCTCAGTCTTCTCATCTGCAACATGGGGCAAAGCACACCCCTCCCACCCCCTCACGTGGAGAAAGACCCTCAGAGACCTACCACCCACAGTGAAGCCACAGTTGGCCCCTCGTGGTACCCAGGAGGCTGTGGCCATTCCGACATTGTCAGTATTCGGGCTAACCTTTGGCCCTGTTGGGGGCCTGGACAGGGACCTGGCAGAGAGTCCTGGAAGGGCTGTCCACGGGGGGCCCTGGAGAGCCAGAAATAAGCCCTTATGCCCTATGGCATCCAGGCCCCTGGGCCATGGGGCTCCAGGCCTTAGGGAAGGACCACAGTTAGGGAGGAAAGGGGGCCAGATGCCAGCGGACATGAAGACCCCTTAGGGCCAGCGGTTCTCAACTTGGGGTCACGACCCTCTTTTGGGGGTTGGAACGGACCCTTTCCACGGGGGGTCGCCTAAGGACCATCGGAAAACACCATAATAATTTACCATAGTGTTTTTGGGATTAAATCACTA